TATATTAATTCAGGAAAACTTGGCTTATTAGGCAAATCGGGCCTTGAATAGTAGGCTGAGAAGTGAGTTCTGGCTACTAGGTACGACATATATATATATATATATATATATATATATATATATAATATATACTATATATAGTTTTCATATATATATATATATATACCTATCGGCTGGGCAGTACACTAATATATTTGATTTAGTGCACATTGCCGTGTGTGTTATTGCAAAGGGGTTGTCATTGTTGGTGATTGTTGATAGTGTTGATCAATCACCGGTGTGTTTTGCAGTTCACTAAAGCATTGTGGGGGCGTGTTCTAAACGGTTCATGTCCTGAGTGTTATATATTGGGTTTCTGCAGTATTGTCATTGCAACCGGATTGTAACGTAAATTCTTATGATTTGTTAGTGGGTGATTGTCGTGGGTGAACTCGGTTGAGACGAGTACTTGGGTTTTATATTCTCCCGTGATTCAGGTGGACATCGAAGTCCACCATTCAGTGAGATGATTGCGAGGCAAATAATATAACGTAACCAAGGGAACACCCATTGCTTATAGAGAATTTGTTCTTTAACAATTTGAGTAACGTAAGAAGCGTTTGGGTTATTTATTTTTCAGGAAACAGCAGTGATAGTCTCAGGGAGCCTAGCCATCACAATCCCGGATTCTTACTTCTACGGTATTGGGTGGTTGACACGACGACATCAGCCGGACAAGAATTAGAGTATTGTCTGTCGTAATTATCAGTCAGTGGGCAGGTAAATGATGTGTTCCAGGGAGTCAAAGTAATTAACTTCGATCCGTGATTAATCGACTCACACGAAGGCTCCATTGTTCCATTAACGTAACGTCGTTATTGACCTGTCCGGAAGTATAAGTACTTGTCATTGTGAAATAACGTAAACGTGGTGATTAGCGTCCTTAGTCACCTGAATTGGTCTGGTATGGAAGGCTAGACGGAATTCATACCTTTAATATAGACTGCTGAGCCAGTGTGAAAGGTCACGTATTTGTATTGATTAGTTATTGAACTTCGGGATAGTAATTAATTGCTCAAGGGTAATCACGAGTGATTACCGTTTTCTTTAGCACTTTGGACATTGTAATTGAAGTTCACTATCTTTGAGTGATAGTAACCGATAATGCAAATTAAAGTAACTTGTGAAGATATTAATCAGCTGTTTGGAAGTACAGGGATTAATGGGGATTACTCACTGAATGCTCGACGGGTAGAGTGTTTGTGTAATTTCCGAGTTACTAGGACAGTTGTAAGATTGATTTGTCTTTGAGAAGACAAGATTATGTTAACGTAAATGTTAATTTGTTATTAACGTAATCAATTTGTTATTGACTGTTGATCGTCCGAGGGACGAAGTGTTAACGTAACAATTTAATTGAGGAGATGCTGGAGTTGTGAGTAACCTCATTAGTTATGGTCATGTCACTGATAGGCTACTAATTTGATTGAATTGCAACCGCTATTGCAGATGTAGGCTGCAGGAAGCATAGAGTACGGATAAGAGGTTATTGGAGACACGTCTCATTGCTACGATGTTGTAATTGTGATTATAGATTATACATCTATATTGCTTGTGATTATATAAGCATAAGAAATATTGCCGGAACAACCGTGGACATTTTCAAGGGGAAACTAGATTTATTCCTCCAAGGAGTGCCGGACCAACCGGGCTGTGGTGGGTATGTGGGCCTGCGGGCCGCTCCAAGCAACAGCCTGGTGGACCAAACTCTCACAAGTCAAGCCTGGCCTCGGGCCGGGCTTGGGGAGTAGAAGAACTCCCAGAACCCCATCAACCAAGTATCAACCACATTAGAGTGTCTTGTTTGCTTGGTTGATTCTTCTGTGGTCACACAGTATGTTCGAGTTAGTTCAATATGCAGTCCGAGGGGCTGGTGTCTAGCTGTCATTGAAAGTGTCTCAGGAAGGATTTCGAGTAACGTCATTGATATTTCTTTCGTTGTTGTAGTAGTTAGTAGTCTATTGAATAAACTAAGTTGTTATGCTGAACACTGTCTTTTCGTTACACCCCCACATTTATATTGTCTTGCAAGTTTTCTGTCACACTCGACTATCAAATTGAGACTGCTTCTAGCGTCTAGAGCTGAATATATAGCACTACACAACAAATAATATTGCTGTGAGAGCCCAGGACCTGCTCGTTACATTCGCTTCGACGAATGCCGAAGATCAACGGCCTAAGTGGAGGGGATTTCAACTTTTTGGGGTCTCGGCGTTTGCTCGCGCATGGTCAATTGTTCATATCTGGTCCCAGAGTGAGGAATGAGCTGCTTACTACACTGGTGTGTTAGCTAAGCAAGTCCTTCCTCAGGCAACCTATATGAATATCACGATAGGAATAAGGTTAAAGGAGTTCCGGAATTTCTTTTTTAGGAATTATCCAAATTTCAAATACCATTTTCAATATTCCATTATAATAAAACTCTTACAGTGTAACTTGTGCTTGCTTGTCTGTGAGACAAGGACTTGGTGTAATCATTAATTCCTCATTAATGATTCAGAGAGAGTTGATTATCAGTGCTAATTGTCGTCACTGAGGAAGTTTACATTGGTCTGATGAGGGAGCTGTTGTGTAGATAACAATATTGAAATTAACGAAGTATGATCATGTTCAATTATCTGTCTGCGGGACAGTTAATTGATCACTCAAGTTAATTAAGGGTAATTAACATCATAGTGAATTCACACAGTGGTCGTGGGGGGCGTCAGTGTGTTAGCATCATGTGTTCTGAATTAATTACCAAGCTTCGGGACAGTTAATTGATCACTTAATTAAGGGTAATTAACACCGTCAAGCGGATTCACCGTGTTTTGACTAGCTGTCGTTGGGCGATAGTGATTTGAGTAATGTATTATGTCTGCATTAATTACCTGTAGTGTGACAGTAATTAATCACTCAAAATTATTATGATAGTTAACGCCAGTTGTCGAGAGGGTGACAGTTCGGTTGAGTGAACTTACATTTGGCTGAATCGATTTTCTGTCCGTTCGACAGTTAAGGTTGATCACTCAAGTTAATTGGAGTAATTAGCGTCGTCGAAGTTTATTCCACATAGTTTAAATTCATCCAGTTGTTGAGCACTGTTGTGGGAGTTCAACAGTGATTGAGTAACGTAAGACGATCTGATGTAGTTATCTGTCTGTATGACTTTAATTAGTCCCTCAAGTTAATAACGGGTAATTAATGTCAACAAGATGAATTCACAGAGTTTGATTTGAGCTGTAGGTTGTAACTGTGTTTGAGTTAACGTCATGTGTTCTGTTTAATTTGCTATTCGTTTAACAGTAAATTAATTGCTCAAGTAAATTATGGGTAATTAACGTCCTCAAAGTGAATTAAGTGTAACTTTTATATTACTGTTTGTTGGACTCGTCTTTGGAGACGAGTGTTGAAGTAATTAACGGGGGTTACCGGAAAAATGTCTCGTTAACCTGCCTTGTTGTTGTTTGAATTGTAACTGTATTCCAGAGTGCTGTAAGGGTTATTGCAATCTGCGTCTTCAGGGAACATTCTGAGATTGTTCAGTTAGTTCAGTATTCAGCCTCGCGGCAAAGGAGAGGACTTCTTCCTATACCTGGTTGTCAATTAGCTGTCTTTAATGTGCCACTGAAAGACATTAACGTAACGTCAAGATTTTGTTGTAGTAGACTTAGTTCTTGTTGATGTGCTGTTCTTGACAATCCGTTGTGGGATTACCATAAACACTGACAATGATGTGTTGTGGGATTACAGTAAACACTGGCAATGATGTGTTGTGGGATTACAGTAAACACTGGCAATGATGTGTTGTGAGGATTACAGTAAACACTGGCAATGACGTGTTGTGGGATTATCATAAACACTGGCAATGATGTGTTGTGAGGATTACAGTAAACACTGGCAATGATGTGTTGTGGGATTACAGTAAACACTGGCAATGATGTGATGTGAGGATTACAGTAAACACTGGCAATGATGTGTTGTGGGATTATCATAAACATTGGCAATGATGTGTTGTGAGGATTACAGTAAACACTGGCAATGATGTGTTGTGGGATTATCATAAACATTGGCAATGATGTGTTGTGAGGATTACAGTAAACGCTGACAATGATGTGTTGTGGGATTACAGTAAACACTGGCAATGATGTGTTGTGGGATTACCATAAACACTGACAATGATGTGTTGTGGGATTACAGTAAACACTGGAAATGATGTGTTGTGGGATTACAGTAAACACTGGCAATGATGTGTTGTGAGGATTACAGTAAACACTGGCAATGACGTGTTGTGGGATTATCATAAACACTGGCAATGATGTGTTGTGGGATTACAGTAAACACTGGCAATGATGGTTTGTGAGGATTACAGTAAACACTGGCAATGATGTGTTGTGAGGATTACAGTAAACACTGGCAATGATGTGTTGTGAGGATTACAGTAAACACTGGCAATGATGTGTTGTGAGGATTACAGTAAACACTGGCAATGATGTGTTGTGAGGATTACAGTAAACACTGGCAATGATGTGTTGTGGGATTACAGTAAACACTGGCAATGATGTGTTGTGAGGATTACAGTAAACACTGGCAATGACGTGTTGTGGGATTATCATAAACACTGGCAATGATGTGTTGTGGGATTACAGTAAACACTGGCAATGATGGTTTGTGAGGATTACAGTAAACACTGGCAATGATGTGTTGTGAGGATTACAGTAAACACTGGCAATGATGTGTTGTGAGGATTACAGTAAACACTGGCAATGATGTGTTGTGAGGATTACAGTAAACACTGGCAATGATGTGTTGTGAGGATTACAGTAAACACTGGCAATGATGCTTAATGGAATAAATATTTATTTTAAGTATTGTGTGACATCTGTTACTAAAAAATATGTTATCTCTTTTAATATCAAAAGATAACATATATTATCCTTTTAAAAAATACAAAGAGTACTATTGAAATCAAATAAAAAAAAATTATCAGCATTTTTCAAATATTAATTATAATTTCATTAGAAATAAATTTAATAATTCAATTATTTCTAAATTATAAATGGAATTTGTTTATGGTCGTCCAAAACTGTTATTAAATAAATTAAAGTGAATGAATAATTAGCTGGAAGAAAAAAAAATACATGTTATTTAAAAACAAAATTTAACTCTATACAAATATCTTTACTGGAAAAATGCTTATGATTAATTATTGTCATATAACTATGAACAAGGAGAACAGCCCAGTGCTGGCCTCGCCACACACCCCGAGGCGAGGAGATGACCAGTGTCCGCAATGGGGATACGTCCTCTTGTACTTAGTCAACTGAGTAAGCAATTGTTCACGCGCTGATAACTCTATCTCAAGTGCCTATCCGTAGATGGGGGAAGGCAAGACTGGTGGAGTACCATAAGACTCCTCTGGGGGTGGTGGCGGCGGTGGGGGACCGTAGCCAGGTGTGGGAGGGGGACCGTAGACAGGTGTGGGTGGGGGACAGTAGGTGACGTAGTGGTCCTGCGTCTTCACGACGGTGCTGTACTGGGGTACCACCTGGGTCTTGTAGACAGTTTGTGTCACGTACTCTGCTGTAGTTATGTACTTCGGGATGTACTGAGTTTGTGTGTGGTAGTTAATCTGGGTGGTGGTAACGTACTGCGTCTGGTAGGCTGTTTGCGTCACGTACTGCGTCTGGTAGTCTGTCTTGGTAATGTACTGAGGGACGAAAGATGTCTCGTAGCGGGTGACGTACTGCGTCTCAGTGACGTACTTCTTCTGGATATCTGTTATGGTGAGGTACTGAGGGAGGAATTCCGTCAGGTACTGTGTCTTGTACACGGTCTGGAACTGCGTCTGGTAGATGGTAGTGGGTACTACCTGCGTCTGGTAGACAGTGGTGTACACGGGTACCTGCCATACACAAAACATCAGTAATACAGAGTGGCAGTGACATATCAAGATATTTTTTGTCTCAAAATTTATTGAAGAAAATTATACGGGTACATATATAATTATATTAAATATTTTGGATCAATTCTGCTGAAAAATACACTTATAGTTTTGTATATAAAACTACTCAGAACTACTGTTCTTTAAGATACCTAACACTTGCTCCAGTAACGTATATTGACGTATTACTAGTTAGTGAACTGTGAGGTAAACTGACCTGGTTGAACTTAGTCACTACCTGGGTGACATATTTAGTCTCGGGATGGCACAGGGAAGGTGGTGGGCCATATCTTGGGGGTCGCGGAGCACCATAAATCGGGGGCAGTTCGGCCAAACACAGCCCCAGGTTCACCAGCAGTACAAGTCCCAGGATCATCTGAAGGAATTAGGTACATTGAGTTATGTAAATTACCTGAAGTAATTTGATCACCTTTATCATCTAGAGTTGTATACAAATATTTTAGTGACAGAAGGCGTGGAGTGCGCCGCGACAAGCACCGGAGGCAGGGCGGAAGATGGCCACTTACAGAGTTTGTTTAAGGTATAGAGTGGCCGGGGGTCCACCTGCTTACCTATAGACTACCTGATGTGTTGCAAGTTTGTAATTCATTAAGCTCGTTCTGAGTTTAAAATGTTTGATTTTGATTTTAAAATATTACTAAAAGGAGCCCACTCATAGATATTATTTGCCACACCAACGAAAAGTAATGAAAGTTTCCTTAATAAAGTTGGATATTAAGTGTGTACAAGTATGGGTGCGTACGTGTGTAAGTGGTGTTTACGTGGCCAGCACGGCACCTCCAAGAACCACGTTGGCAAGAATCCTGAAACATAAATAAAGTGACAATTCAGGTCTAAGCTGCAGCAGACCCCAAAGGCGCATTCGTGAATTTTACTGTACTACGCGACCAGAAACTATATATTCTCGCATACAAATTTATATCAATATTTATTATTATTATTATTATGTGTATAGATAGACCAGGGTCGGTTAGGCGTTTTGGTTCTATTTAAAAAAATTATATTTGCAGTACATGCGTGAAACGTTTAGAAAGGTGCAGTTCGAGCACAGGAAAAGAGAGTAACATTACTCAAGAACAGTTCGAGTGTGATCAGTTGTGAGCCGTGTGTGATGTGCAATTGTTGAAAATTGTTTCACACTTGACCATAAAGGATGAGACAAAGGTTTACTCTTTGATCTTATATTTTGCATATGTCCTCAATGAATTTTAGTTGCCAGCAATAATGCTTTCATTCAGTAGCCAAATATATTGTCCGCGGGACTGAATATCAGTGACCTCCTTAATTGCTTGCCAAAAAAGTGGTTAGGGAATGACTGTATTGGACACCTTCAAACGAGTCAATTTGATGTACCCCAAAGAGAAGCTTTGACCCCCTGGTGTGACGTAATTGGATGAAAGGTTAATCAGGAGAGAAATGGTTATGAACTGCGCGAAGAACAGAAACCCGAGCTTAACCAGTGCCGTCTGGTCTGTGACAATAACGATGCATGTTCGTGTTGGGTGGGCTGCAGCTTCACAACCTTAGGGGAAACAAATGCAAGCTAATAAGATTTTAGCATGGTATCCATATTCTGTCTAACTAATCTTGCACCAGTCTTAGTCACTGTCATTTGCGGCTTGATAAAGTCGTGGACGCTGCCAGCCAGGTACGGGTTGGAGAATCTTGTGAGTTCGCCAAGTTCTGGGTATAGCATTTGTTTGATATGCTGAGGTCTTTAGTTTCGGGGAGTCACCCGCTAATCTAAGTGGAAAAAAAATGCAGTTTTAAGGCGTTCAGATTCTTGACCAGTTAAAGGTTCTGCTGCACAAGCATTTTCTCAGGGATTACTGTTGTCTATGTATAGAGCTAGTGCTACGGTAATGTTTCTTGGGGCTATTGTACCATCGTTGATAATAATTTTTATTGTACCTCCAATACTATTATATTTTTTCCTTGCCAATATTAGACGGGATTTTTAGGTTTATTGATGAGCAATTATGCGTGTCTATGACGGTTGTTTTCTTGCACGAGAGGACAAGTGGACCAGGATATCTTCTCTGAGGAACTCATTTATGGGTCTAACTAATGAGGCTGCAAATAACTTGTTTCTCCTTGGGAGGTCAACAAGGCGAGTACAGTCAAACAACAAGATATTGTGCCATGTTTGGATGGTTCCTGAAAGCTTCATTAACTTTTTTCAGAAGTTTGTGAATTTAGCTGCTGTTTGCCGGAGTGTTGCTTTAGAGATGTGAGGCGGTGTCCTGACACACGTGGCATTGATTAGTTTTACAAGTTTATATGATGCATGAATTTAAGGAAGGTGTTGCCCTAGCATCCGGTGCAAGCTGTAGGTTAACATTTTCTCGGGGTTGGTATAGGGATGCTAGACCCTCCTGAATTAATACTGTGGCAGCGAACATTAACATTACTAACGAAGGGAAAGGAACTATCAGGAGAAACCGCCAAGCCATTACACCTAAATATAGCACTTGGAAGGGATCAGGATAAGGATTTGGGATGGGACGGGGGAAAGGAATGATGCCCAGCCACTTGGACAGTCGGGGGATTGAACGCCGACCTGCATGAAGAAAGACCGTCGCTCTACCGACCACCCCAAGTAGTTGGTCTACATTACTGATGAGACAACAATCTTTGTAACATTTGCGAGAGGTACTTCTCACCCTCTCTTGGCTGGGAGGAACCTGGGTGACCAATATGACAGCGCCTTGTCTAGACTCCTGAGGATAAATAATTCTCCTTGATGGATAGTTGTATTTAGAAGGTTTGAATGAGGCAGTGCTCTTGGCCTAATGAAGCTACCTGTTATGTCGTGTAGTGCATGTCCATCTGTCTGTTCTAACTTAGAGGCCAGATGCTTTGGGTGTAACCTCACCCAAATGTACAGAGGTCATGGTCTTGGGTATGGGACGGACATTTTACTTAACCCTGGTCGGGCAGGGTTAAGTAAAATGTTAAAAGAAATATCAGCTTGTAACCCAACAATATACGAGAGTCTTGAAGTCTGAAACGAAATCGGGGAAGTATTTCCCGAAGAGTTTACCGATAATTTTCATGAATTAATCATTGCAGCCAAATTAGCGTGTAATAAAGATGAAGTTGAATTAGATCTAGGTATCCCCATCTCTACCGTCAAAATTATATTGGTTCAAACACTCAGGTCTGATAGGAAAGAAATTACTGACTCCCAACGACCTGAAAGCACTAGTATAAAAAGCTATGATTTGTTCAGAACTGTAACCTATATCTATGGGTAGGACAAAACGTCCACCAGATTGTGCGACACAGTGATTTCCAAAATCAGGTTGGGTTACCGTTACTTGTGGTAGGTGGCTACAGGTGACGGATCTCCCAATCCTGAGCACTACAGGTGCAAACTCTTTGAGCAGGAACTGCGGCATGATCTCCCACACTACATCACCGAATTCCCAGTTATTAGACCTTTCAGACCAGTTGGCATGAGGTATTTGGAGCTTTGCAATTACTTTATTCACTCTCGTGTTCTTGAAAATATCCTCATAGTGCACCAAAAATTTGCCAGTGCAGGCTACTAAACATATATATGGCCCGGTATGACTATCGATCCTGCGAGATGGAGCCTTTTAGTATCACTGCTACCTTATTCACTCATGTGTTCATGATATCCTCATAATGCACCTCGGAGTCTCCCAGACTGCCTCTGCATGACTAACCTTCCTGTGTGATGGAGATTTTTAGCACTATGTAGCTAGCTTTTTGACACACTGTACTCCCCTTCATATAGTCTAGGTGTACTCCCCTTCATATAGTCTAGGGTAGCGGCACAAATGCAGATGTATCTATGTATTTATAAAAAAAATCGAATGCTGTGAACTAATTCATTCGGGTTACAGTGCTGAAACTACTGAGCAGTGACGATAAAAATGGTGATGAAGATAGTATATAAAGACAGAATTTAGTGGTAATAAAAGATGAGGGGAGAAGGGCTACAAGATAGAAATATATGCATATATATATATATATATATATATATATATATATATATATATATATATATATATATATATATATATATATATATATATATATATATATATATATATATATCCAAAGTTCACTATATATTAGTTCACTATATATATATATATATAATATATATATATATATATATATATATATATATATATATATATATATATATATATATATATATATATATATATATATATATATATATATATATATATATAACCAAAGTTCACTATATATATATATATATATATATATATATATATATATATTATATATATATATATATATATATATATATATATATATATATATATATAATATATATATATATATATATATATCCAAAGTTCACTATATATTAGTTCACTATATATATATATATATATATATATATATATATATATATATATATATATATATATATATATATATATATATATATATATATATAATATATATATATATATATATATATATATATATATATATATATATATATATATATATATATATATATATATATATATATATATATATATATATATATATATACTTGCATGTAATTTTTTATTACATTTGTAGGGGGTTAAAGGATAACAAGAAAAACCTTAACAATATCGTTCTAACCATTATATATAGTATTTACACCAACTGGTTTCATCCCTCGTATGCAGGGCCTCCTCTGTTTATATACTCTATTTCTTCTTCAGTAATTCTCTCTCTACGATATCTTGGTGGTACCTGCCACTCTTCTAGTACAGGTGGAGGAGGAATAGAAATTAGAAAGTGGATTAAGGTGTCCTGTACATACCAGTTGCGTTGCTCCTGGCACTATGGGTTCGAGTCACTTCTGGGGTGTGAGTTTTCAGATGCATATAGTCCTGGGGACCATTCAGGCTTGTTCGCAATTGTGTTCCTCACATTTGCCCCAAAGAATGAGGTGTATGATAAAATATTATGCCCAAGATTACCATCCGAGTGCCGGCGGCGGGGGGGGGGGTTCAAATAGCTTCGCCTATCACCTCCTTATGTCCGGTCGCGATGGTCGAGTGGATTAAGGTGTCCTGAACATACCAGTTGCATTGCTCCTGGCACTATGGGTTCGAGTCACTTCTGGGGTGTACGTTTTCAGTTGCATATAGTCCTGGGGACCATTCAGGTATGTTTGCATTTGTGTTCCTCACGTGTGCCCCAAAGAATGAGGTGATTTGATAAAATACTATGCCCTAGATTACCATCCGAGTGCCGGGGGGGGGGATGGTTCAAATAGCTTCGGTTATCACCTCCTTGTGTCCAGTCGTGATGGTCGAGTGGATTAATGTGTCCTGTACATACCTGTTGCGTTGCTCCTGGCAGTATGGGTTCGAGTCACTTCTGGGGTGTGAGTTTTCAGTTATATATATATATATATATATATATATATATATATATATATATATATATATATATATATATATATATATATATATATATATATATATATATATATATATATATATATATATATATATATATATATATATATATATATATATATATATATATATATATATATATATATATATATATATATATATATATATATGTGTGTGTGTGTGTGTGTGTATACTGGCAGCAGGTTTTCTTTTAAACATGTCTCATTGAATATGATTGCATATTCAGTATTTACTATCTTCTGGTTTTGGGCTTCTCTCCCTCTAACTATTTTCCTAGCATCAGGGCTTAGATGAAAGAGGAGTTCTCCAAAACTCATTTTCGTTATTTCAAAGTGAAGAAAAAGTGAATTACTATAGAATGTATTACACTTATTTATACAATTTGCACAACGTTTTGAATCTCCATGGTTCATTCTCAATTGAAAAGAAATTACAGAACTCATTGATATATACCCGTTTGGGGTCAGGTGAGAAGACAAGTGCAATAAAGGTAAAAACAACGGGGATACGTGGGGGGACGAAACACATAAGAACATAAGAATAAACTTAACTGCAGAAGGCTTATTGGCTCATACGAGGCAGCTCCAATCCCAAAGATTAATCAGGTGTAATTGGCCTGTTATGTTGAACAGTGTCTTCTGTGTTGGCATCGTTATGTTCTGGTCTTGTCCTTACTCTCATGGTGGGTAGAGTAAATAATCTAAATCACGGAACTATTTACTTTACCCACCATGAGAGTAAGGACAAGCCCAGAACATAACGATGCCTACACGGAAGACACTGATCAACATAACAGGCCAATTACACTTGATTAATCTTTGGGATTGGAGCTGCTTCGTATGGGCCAATAGGCCTATATATATATATATATATATATATATATATATATATATATATATATATATATATATATATATATATATATATATATATATATATATATATATATATATATATATATATATATATATATATATATATATATATATATATATATATATATATATATATATATATGACTGAAAACTCACACCCCAGAAGTGACTCGAACCCATACTCCCAGGAGCAACGCAACTGGTAACTACAGGACGCCTTAATCCGCTTGACCATCACGACCGGACATAAGGATGTGATAACCGAAGCTATTTGAACCACTTCCCCGCCGGCATTCGGATGGTAATCTTGGGCATAGCATAGCACACGTTCCTCACGTGTGCCCCAAAGAATGAGGTGATTTGATAGATTGCTATGCCCAAGATTACCATCCTAGTGCCAGAGGGGAAGTGGTTCAAATAGCTTCGGCTACCACTTCCTTATGTCCGGTCGTGATGGTCAAGCGGATTCAGGCGTCCTGTAGTTACCAGTTGCGTTGCTCCTAGGAGTATGGGTTCGAGTCACTTCTGGGGTGTGAGTTTTCAGTCGCATATAGTCCTGGGGACCATTCAGGCTTGTTCGCATATATATATATATATATATATATATATATATATATATATATATATATATTATATATATATATATATATATACATATATATATATATATATATATATATATATATATATATATATATAATAGCCAGAAGGCACTACTAAAGATGAAATCTTCAGTCAGATGCCCCCAAAAATCACATGAGACAAGCCCATAACATCACTCAAGATGGAAGACGATTACAAATTCTTGAAGCCCTTCACATAAAAGTCGAACAACCCAATATAAATACCCAAATAACGGAACTATTCACTCTACCCACCACGAGAGAAAGAACAAGATCGGAACGTGATGATGCAAACGTAGACGAAACCTGATTCACAAATTCATTGTGAAACCCCAGTATTATTCAGTGTGAAACACCAGTATTATTCAGTGTGAAACCCCAGTATTATTCAGTGTGAAACACTAGTATTATTTGGTGTAAAAGCCCAGAATTATTTTGTGTAAAAGCCCAGTATTATTCAGTGTGAAAGGCCAGTATTATTGTGTGTGAAATCCCAGTATTATTCAGTGTGAAAGGCCAGTATTATTCAGTGTGAAAGGCCAGTATTACCCAATGTGAAATCTCATTATAATTCCCATCAACTCAGTGATAGCGTCATAAGTAATGGAAGATCGTGAGAGCTTTGTGCATCCAATACCCCGTTGTTCTCCTGGAGGAAGATTTCATATGAGGTTCCGTGCTGAAGTTCTCTTGCGAGACAGAGAGTAAAGGTTAGCTGCCTTTCGGTGATGTAACGGTCTTGGAAAGGAGCGGTGGCATTCACACTGCCATCTATGCCAAGAGAACTAGCCTGTGGATGTGCCTTAATGGTAGTCGTGAGTGCTATGACACACACGTGTTGCTGACGACTATGTCAACAGTGGTGTTCCTACACTCGGCTCCTGTTGAAAGCAGGTTGACGAGGAACTCGGCAGAAGAAAGAAGGTCCAAGTCAATAATGCATATTCTAACGGATATGTCGATGACATCATTGAAGAAAGGTGAACATACTCGCAACTCTGATGAAGCGGCTAATCCTTAACTGTAGCTTCTGGTGACTCATCAGTGATTGGATACCTGGTTGTTAAACGGTTTACCGGGTCGTGATACAGGGAAAAATTAAGATTAAGGACCTGCCTGAAACGCTATGCGTGCTAGTGGCTTTACAAAAATGTAAGAACGCTTGTATGTATAAATAAAATAAATAACAAATGACATTGTCGTTTTTACATGCACACTTGAGGATTATCAACCCTAACGATATCATTAAAAGGTAAGACAACAATATCTCTTTCAAGGCGCCTAACTATTCAAAATAACACTTCTCTTGCAAAGGAAACACAAATTTCAGGTCAACAACCAAACAATTATCAGAGAGATTATGATTAACCGCACTTGACGCAACTAACAGAGAACACCTGGAACAATTATTCTTTGTTGAAGTCAAGGGGGAGGCTGTGCACATGACTTCAGAGGTCACCTTCGTAACAGGCCTTGGTCCTCAAAAAAGTAGAGCCATTTTGACTTTTCCATTTCGTAGCTTTTGCCTTGCTCTAAGTTTTCTTCTCACCTCTCTCTTGCTTATTTATTGCCATCGCCTAATTTCCTCATCACAGTCGACTTGAGAATGGTCCAGGACGGACCGAAACGTCGTCGTCCCTTCACTTTCTAGTGTGTGGTGTGGTCAACATACTTCAGCCACGTTATTGTAACTCTTCGCCAGCAGTAAAGTCATTAATTTCCTCATTTTAGATTAGTTCACCTCATGACGGAGTGCTTAACCACACGTTTTTCTATGTTTATATAAACAAAATAATGGTTCAGATCCCCACACAAGCTGACAACGCTATTCTCTCCTATTCAGATGACATTTCTATTGCAGCAAATATTCAAATTCAACAGCAAGCTGTACTTTTTTTACCGACTACCAAGAACGTAAAATTTGATCTAATTTATCTCCATAAAAAAATTAAATCAATCTATCGGAACAAGTGACTAAATGACCCTCTATTTTTCAGAGTTAACAATCAAAACATCGCAACTTCCAAGCAACACAAATATCTTAGACTAAGTGTCAACATTAACCCTGTATAATCTACTTACATAATAGACTCAAGAAGGACTTAAGCCTCTGAATAAGTACACTTACTGGTAGGAACATTGTCAAGATTAAATATACTAGGCAATTTTATGTGATGTTTATTAGACCTCTTAATGGACAATTATGTCTTTAACAGAATTAATTTCCAAACTTCTACTTTAAACAAACAAAAACCAATACAATTCCGAGCCCTGAGGTGTCCCAAGACACATTAGAAGTATTAACATGAGGTGAGAACAAAAGCTTTCCATTATTATTAAGAGACTCAACATGTCTTTTACCATTAGTCATTAGGGACGCTGCATCACCATTACTGATCACTGATGAGACAAGCATTTCTATGTCCGCAATACTTCAGTAATTAATGCTAACACACCTCCATATATCTGATAACCTACTGATATAAATTTATCTCTAATATCACCAAACTGAATATAAGTTTAAATTAATCAGTTTGCCTGAAGCTGACTTCACAATTCATCTTGCAAATCCATGCACACCTATCACCAGAAGTGTGCTGAGAGCCTTGCTTCTATACCTTAAACTTGTAACACCAGCTGCTATCAAACACCTCAGGTCATTCAAGCATTATGATGACACTGATATCTCCGTAAAATCGTCAACTGGACTCACTACAGCAGCGTAAATGTGTTCTAGAAAAATTACATGTACACAGATAACCATCGTCAGCCACATACATGCCCGTGTATCTAAGTATGGGAGCACCTCTGTGTATATGTCCCTCCAGCACCTCACTCACCTTAGCAGTAGTAGGAGAGACAAGACTGGTGAGCGCAGCAGCAGCCACCACCTGCCTTATATACTTCAAACTCAGTAAGAACTGCCTGACGGCTCATGAAGATAATATTATTATGGCGTTGCACTTAGAGGTGAAAGGAGTCGTGGCGGTGGTCGTGACCTGCTTACACCTGTTCTACGTGGTTAGTTATTGGAAGACTGCTGCGTTAATCAAGGTCCCCCACTTAAGACCTATTCCAAGATGCAAACCCTAACAGGGTACCTATCTCAATTTCGGGAATTCAACCCTGAACCTCTAGGTTGTGAACCGACTCTGCTGACCCCTGTATCACTGTAAAACTATTCATGAGTACTACATTACTATATATGTCATTTTTGCTTCTAAAAGTTTAATGTTAATAACAGTGATAAACTTTCCTTTAGCAATTGTTAAGCTGTCTATTATAATTGATATGTGTATTAAAATGCAAAAGTGCTGGGAACTATTACTTTCTATTCTTTCTCTCTCTCAAGAGCATCTTGATATATATATATATATATATATATATATATATATATATATATATATATATATATATATATATATATATATATATATATATATATATATATATATATATATTATATATACATATAACTGAAAACTCACACCCCAGAAGTGACTCGAACCCATACTCCCAGGAGCAACGCAACTGGTATGTACAAGACGCCTTAATCCACTTGACCATCACGACCGGACATAATGAGGTGATAGCCGAGGCTATTTGAGGCGTCTTGTACATACCAGTTGCGTTGCTCCTGGGAGTATGGGTTCGAGTCGCTTCTGGGGTGTGAGTTTTCAGTTGCATATTGTCCTGGGGACCATTCAGGCTTGTTCGCATATATATATATATATATATATATATATATATATATATATATATATATATATATATATCTATATATATATATATATATATATATATATATATATGTCGTACCTAGTAGCCAGAACGCACTTCTCAGCCTACAATGCAAGGCCCGATTTACCTAATAAGCCTAGTTTTTATGAATTAATGTTTTTTCGACTACCTAACCTACCTAACCTAACCTAACCTAACGTTTTCGGCTACCTAACCTAACCTAACCTATAAAGATAGGTTAGGTTAGGTTAGGTAGGGTTGGTTAGGTTTGGTCATATATCTACGTTAATTTTAACTCCAATAAAAAAACATTGACCTCATACATAATGAAATGGGTAGCTTTATCATTACATATGAAAAAATAGAGAAAATATATTAATTCAGTAAAACTTGGCTTATTAGGCAAATCGGCCATGCATAGTAGGCTGAGAAGTGCGTTCTGGCTACTAGGTACGACATATATATATATATATATATATATATATATATATATATATATATATATATATATATATATATATATATATATATATATATATATATATATATATATATATGTCGTACCTAGTAGCCAGAACGCACTTCTCAGCCTACTATACAAGGCCCAATTTGCCTAATAAGCCAAGTTTTCATGAATTAATGTTTTTTCGACTACCTAACCTAACCTAACCTAACTTTTCAGCTACCTAACCTAACATAACCTATAGAGATAGGTTAGGTTAGGTTAGGTAAGGTTGGTTAGGTTCGGTCATATATCTACGTTAATTTTAACTCCAATAAAAAAAAATTTACCTCATACATAATGAAATGGGTAGCTTTATCATTTCATAAGAAAAAAAATAGAGAAAATATATTAATTCAGGAAAACTTGGCTTATTAGGCAAATAAGGCTTTGCATAGTAGGCTGAGAAGTGCGTTCTGGCTACTAGGTACGACATATATATATATAATATATATATATTATATATATATATATATATATATATATATATATATATATATATATATATATATATATATATATATATATATATATATATATATATATATATATATATATATATATATATATATATATATATATATATATATATTAGTATATTTTGGTAGCAGTCTTTCCTGTAGACATATATTATTAAATATGACCGAAAAAGTAAGATTAATAATTCTAACACGAATTTTCTCAATCTTTCGTACATTACGCTTCACTGTTGGAGGTAAATCAAAAATCACTTCTCCAAAATTCATTTTTATTTCTAGTCTGACGCGACACGGGCGCGTTTCGTAAACTTATTACATTTTCAAAGACTTCACAAATACACAACTGATTAGAACTTACGTATCTCTGATTTTATATCTACATTCGAGTGAGGTGGGAGGGGTGATGTGGCATTAACACAAGACAGAACAAGAGGGGATATTAATAGGGTATTAAAAGTATCAACACAAGACAGAACAGAAACAATGGGTATTGAATAGAAGTGTTTGTAGAAAGCCTATTGGTCCATATTTCTTGATGCTTCTATATTGGAGCGGAGTCTTGAGGTGGGTAGAATATAGTTGTGCAATAATTGGCTGTTGATTGCTGGTGTTGACTTCTTGATGTGTAGTGCCTCGCAAACGTCAAGCCGCCTGCTATCGCTGTATCTATCGATGATTTCTGTGTTGTTTACTAGGATTTATCTGGCGATGGTTTGGTTATGGGAAGAGATTATATGTTCCTTAATGGAGCCCTGTTGCTTATGCATCGTTAAACGCCTAGAAAGAGATGTTGTTGTCTTGCCTATATACTGGGTTTTTTGGAGCTTACAGTCCCCAAGTGGGCATTTGAAGGCATAGACGACGTTAGTCTCTTTTAAAGCGTTCTGTTTTGTGTCTGGAGAGTTTCTCATGAGTAGGCTGGCCGTTTTTCTGGTTTTATAGTAAATCGTCAGTTGTATCCTCTGATTTTTGTCTGTAGGGATAACGTTTCTATTAACAATATCTTTCAGGACCCTTTCCTCCGTTTTATGAGCTGTGGAAAAGAAGTTCCTGTAAAATAGTCTAATAGGGGGTGTAGGTGTTGTGTTAGTTGTCTCTTCAGAGGTTGCATGGCTTTTCACTTTCCTTCTTATGATGTCTTCGACGAAACCATTGGAGAAGGTGTAGACTGCAGTGTGGAAACCTCCGCCCTTTTCCATGACTGTTACATCTAGAAAAGGCAGCTTCCCATCCTTTTCCGTATATATATATATATATATATATATATATATATATATATATATATATATATATATATATATATATATATATATATGTCGTACTTAGTAGCCAGAACGCACTTCTCAGCCTACTATGCAAGGCCCGATTTTCCTAATAAGCCAAGTTTTCATGAATTAATTGCTTTTCGACTACCTAACCTACCTAACCTAACCTAACCTAAGTTTTTCGGCTACCTAACCTAACCTAACCTATAAAGATAGGTTACGTTAGGTTAGGTAGGGTTGGTTAGGTTCGGTCATATATCTGCGTTAATTTTAACTCCAATAAAAAAAATGGACCTCATACATAATGAAATTGGTAGCTTTATCATTTCATTAGAAAAAATATATTAATTCAGGAAAACTTGGCTTATTAGGCAAATCGGGCCTTGCATAGTAGGCCAAAAAGTGCGTTCTGGCTACTAGGTACGACATATATATATATATATATATATATATATATATATATATAGACATATGTCGTACCTAGTAGCCAGAACGTGGTACTCGGCCTACTATGCAAGGCCCGATATGCCTAATAAGCCATGTTTTCCTGAATTTAAATATGTCAATAGTTTTTTCTTATGAAATAATAAAGCTATCCATTTCATTATGTATGAGTTAACTTTTTTTAAATTTGAGTTAAAACTAACGTAGATATGTGACTGAACCTAACCAACCCTACCTAACCTAACCTAACCTATCTTAACCTAACCTAAACTATCACAATTTAGAAAATAATTTATGTTCCTAATATAATATAATAATAATAATTCAAATAATCTTATTGGAAACAATTTATTGAAAATAAAGAAAATCACTCGCCCTATTAGGCAAATCGGGCCTTGCATTGTAGGCTGAGAAGTGCGTTCTGGCTACTAGGTACGACATATATATATATCCCCAAGCCAATGATAAACAACTTTGGACCTTCTGTAAATAGTAAGTCTGTAACGCTTTTCTTGTAATAAAGTTTAATAAAATAAACACATATAAGGAGGTAGTAGAAGACAATATGTACCAGCGCACGTGGGAGCCCGACAAGGCAATAATATCTTTAAGAACACTTTTCCCCGTTTTATAAGCCGTGGAAAAGAAGTTCCTGCGAAACGATCTAAAAGGAGGTATCAGGTGACAGATTTGACAGAACATTAATGCCTTAATGCTAATAGTGACTGCCCGGACAGGTACAAGGTCATTTAATTTTAATGAATTGAAAAGCTGTCCAACTTTTGCCTCATTCAAAAACAAAACCAAAAAGTACCTAATTATATCTTCATAGTTTCCTACCTAGTGCTTTAAAATAGCACTGTATCTAGTGCTGTCCAATCCCCCAGTCTTTATGTACCTAATCCAAACAACTTTACTTTTGTTATCATTGCTGTCTTCTTATATGTACTATCAATATGCTGAATTGTGCCTATTAATCTTTGTTAAATTACCAATCAAGCTGTCAAAGCAATCAATCAGAGCTACCGATGTGCTTTAATATACCTACTAATCTCTCTCATCTCATTTTTTTCTTGCAATATACCTATTATCATTTTGTAAATTTTGCTAGAATTTATTTACTTAAAATTATCTGTTAGATTAAGGACCTGCCCGAAACGCTGCGTGTACTAGTGGCTTTACAGTAATGTAAACACCGTGCTATGTATCCTCAAAAACCCAACGTACCTTCTTGTATATATATATATAAATAAATAAGTAAATAAATAAATAAATAAATAAATAAACAGCGGAGTGTTGTCAACACTTACGTTGAAAGAGCTCTCACTCACAGCTCTGGTTGAAAGCAGGTCGATGAGGAACTCTGCAGAGTGAGGCACGTCCTAGTCAACAATGGCTTCTCTAACGGTTATGTTGAAGACGTCATTAAAAGAAAGATGACACGTCGTGTCACCTTGTGACATGA